CCTCCCCTCACTCCCCTCCTCCCCTCCTCCCCTGCCCCTCTCTCACTCACCATATCTGAGCGAGGAACTGTTGAGAGAGTCCACTCTGCATGAGCACCCCGCGCGCCTGCACCCCCGGCACGAACCCCGATCGCTGCTTGTCCTGATTGGCGAACAGCTGGCTGTAGTGAAGCCTCGCCGCGTGCGGGATCGACCAATCGGCTCCCGACGCCGAACGAGAACGCCTGCAAGGTGGCGCCACGTGTAGAGACGACGAACGAGCGAATTTTTCCCCGATTTTTTTTTTCAATTCTCTAATTTTTTTTAATTCTTTTCGTCGGGTGAGGTCGTGTGTATTGCCGATGTATAGATCGGCCGCACGGCAGCGAATTAGATTTTACTTCTTTGTTAAAATTTTTTGACCAATTTTTGTTCACAATAATTGCACAGCCAGTGTAAAACGCGCAGGTTTACAATCACTGAAATTTGACACTTGACCCCCCAGGTATCAAATTATGAGAATCAATGCGCAACATCACTAGAAATTCGAGACGAAATCACAATGCAAAAAATAAACAAGAGAGCGTGCTTACGACGGCGAGCCGGACGCCGCCGGCCCGGCCAGCAGCCCCATCTGGGGGACCATTCCGGAAGCGGGAGCGGAAAACGCCGCGCCGCCGCCAAAACCTCCCCCGAAACCGTGCGCCGGGAACGCTGACGCTGGCGCCCCCATGTGGCCGGGCATCGTCATGGACGCGGCGGATGCTGGCGCCCCCATGTGGCCAGGCATCGTCATCGAAGACATTGCCGCCATTCCACCTGTAAAAGCGACGTTTGTTGCTAGTCAGGCACGACACACAAGCTTACCCAGGCATCGCCCGACACACGTGGAAGGTAGTCCACTTCTAAACTAAACTTAGAAGGAAGCAAGAAGGCAGACAACTTAGAAGGAAGAAAGAAGGTACTAAACTTAGAAGGAAGCAAGAAGGTACTAAACTTAGAAGGAAGAAAGAAGGTACTAAACTTAGAAGGAAGAAAGAAGGTACTAAACTTAGAAGGAAGCAAGAAGGCAGACAACTTAGAAGGAAGAAAGAAGGTACTAAACTTAGAAGGAAGCAATAAGGCAGACAACTTAGAAGGAAGAAAGAAGGTACTAAACTTAGAAGGAACCCAGCCACTCACCGATGCCACCGGCGGCGGGGAGGGTGGCGTAGCCTGACATCGGCGGTGCGGCGACGGCCACGGCAGGGTCTTGCTTCAGGGACGCGGGCAGCGAGGAGGGAATGTCGTAGCCCTGCAGCTTCCTCTTTATGAGGTGCATCGCGATCGAGAACTCGCGCCAGTCCATCTTCCCGTCCTTGTTCATGTCGGCGAGGTCCCTGCAGGAGAGAGAGAGAGAGAGGGGGGAGAGGGGAGTTGGCCGCGGCACGTGCGAATCGAAAGCGGAAAGCACGAAACGGCATTTCAACAGCTGGACTCCAACCCTAGACCTCCGCCTACTCCTCATACACGTACTATGTATGTGCATATGAATCTAACGTTATATGTATATGTAATGTATATGTATAACACGTTGTTGCAGTTGGCCCGGACACGTGGCGAATCGAACGGGAAACACGAACGGCAGTTTCAACAGCTGGAGTCCAACCCTAGACCCTCCCCTTTCCTCATAGCACATAACTAATGTATGTGCATATGAATCTACGTGTATATGTATATGTATAACACGTTGTTGCAGTCGGCCCGGACACGTGGCGAATTGCTGCGGACGAGCGGGGGAAACACGAACATCAGTTTCAGCAGCTGAATCCCGTCAATGGCTTCTCACCGGGAGCAGGCCTCGAGGATTCTTTCTCATGTCAAATCTTCCCCAGGTGTACCGTGCTCTAAGACACATATGGTAAGAGAGAAAGGAGGGAGGCGGAGGAGGGAGAGGGAGGGAGGGAGAGGGAGGGGAGAGAGAGGGGGAGAGGGTAGGGGCAGAGGGAGAGAAAGGGAGAGAGGGTTCTTCCTCATGTCCAACCTTCCCAGGCCGTGCTCAAACACAGTTATGGTAAGAGAGAATGAGGGAGAGGGGAGCGGGGAGGAGGGAGAAAGAGAGGCGAGAGGGAAGACTGAAAGGGGCGAAGGAGAAAGAGAGAGAGAGAGAGCCAGTGTTTGTGCACCACGAAGAAAGAGAAAGAAGAGAGAGAAAGAGAGAGAGGAAAGACAGAGTGCAGACAGACAGAGAGACTACAGAGAGGAGAGAGAGAGAGAGAGAGAGAGGGAGAGAGAGAGAGAGGAGAGAGAAGAGAGAGAGAGAGAGAGAGAGAAACGAGAGACAGACAGAGCAAACGTTTGTGCGCAGAGGAGAGAGTGGGCAGGAGTGAGAGAGGAACTAGGGGGGAATAAAAAAACGTAGGAAGGAGACAAACGGAGAGAGGCGCAGCTGAGCAGACGGCTAACACTGAACCTTCTCGCCCCTGCTTCCCCTCTCTCTTCTCGTCTCTCTCTCTCCTGCAGGGACCCTCGCACGTCGCCGACATGAACAAGGAATGGCAAGAATGGACTGGCTGTCGAGTTCTCGATCGGCGATGGCACCTCATAAAGCAGGAGCTACAGGGCCTACGACATTCCTCCTGCTGTCCGCGCGTCCCTGAAGCAAGACCCTGCCGCTGGCCCATGCCGTGGCCCGGTCGCCGGCAGACCGCGATGTCAGGGCTACCCACCCCCCTCATTAACCCGCCGCCGGTGGCATCGAGTGAGTGGCTGGGTCCCTTCTAAGTTTAGTACCTTCTCTCCTTCTAAGTTAGGTACTTCATTCAGTCTTCTACCTTCTAAGTTGTCTGCCTTATTGGTTTCCATTCTAAGTTTTAGTACCCCTTCATCGTCGTTCTCCTCCTCTAATTGTCTGCCTTCTGGCATTTCCTTTCTAATTTGTCTAGCTTATTGGCTTCCTTCTAAGTTTAGTACTGTTCTTTTTTTCCTTCTAAATTGTGCTTTCTTGCTTCCTCTAAGTTTTAGTACTTCTTTCTTACCTTCTAAGTTGTATGCCTTCTTGCTACCTTCTAAGTTGTCTGGCCTTTATTTGCTTCCTCTAAGTTTAGTACTTTCTTTTTTTTTCCTTGCAAATTGTCTGCTTCTGTTCCTCTTGCTTAAGTTTAGTACTTTCTTTCTCTTCCTTCTTAAGGTTGTCTGCCTTATTGCCTCCTTCTAAGTTACGTACTTTCCATTTTTCTTCCTTCTAAGTTGTAATGCCTTATTGGTTCGCTTCTAAAGTTTAAAAGTAACCCCGCACCACCTTTCATATCCTTCCTTACTAAGTTGTCTGCCCGCCTATTCTTGCTCCTCTAAGTTTGTCTGCCTTATGCTTCTTCTTTCAAGTTTGGTACTTCTTTCTTTCCCTTCTAATTGTCTGGCTTCTTTGCTTCCTTCTAAGTTGTCTGCCTTAATTGCTTCCTTCTAAGTTTTAGTAACCCCTTCTTTCTTCGCAGTTCAAAAGTTGTCTGCCTTCTTGCTTCCTTCTAAGTTGTCTGCCCTTCTTTCTTCCTTCTAAGTTGTCTGCCTTATGCTTCCTCTAAAGTTTATACTTCATTCGTTGTCGCTAATCTAAGTTTGCCTTATTGGTCTCTAAAGTTAGTACCCTTCTTTCTTACTTTCTTAACCTTCAAGTTGTCTGCCTTTTTGCTTCCTTCTAAGTTGTCTGCCTTATTGCTTCCTTCTAAGTTTAGTACTTTCTTTTTTCCTTCTAAATTGTCTGCTTTCTTGCTTCCTTCTAAGTTTAGTACTTTCTTTCTTCCTTCTAAGTTGTCTGCCTTCTTTCTTCCTTCTATTGGTAGCTGTTCTTTTTTCCTTCTAATTGTCTGCTTTCTTGCTTCCTTCTAAGTTTAGTACCCTTTTTTCTTCGCTTCTAAGTTGCTGCCTCTGCCTCCTCTAAGTTTAGTAAGCCCTTTTTTCTATTCCTTCTAAGGTTGTATGGCCTTCTTGCTTCCTTTCTAAGTTTAGTACGCGTTATTGCCTTCCTTTAAGTTTAGTAGCCCTTTTTCCAAATCCTTCTAAAGAGTTGCCTGGCTCTTTGCTTCCTTCTAAGTTTAGTACCTCATTTTCTTCGGCATTCTAAGTTGTCTGCCTTCCTTTGCTTCCTTCTAAAGTTGGTTTAGTACTTCTTTCTTCCTTCTAATTGCCTCCTATTTGCTTTCCGTCTAAAAAGTTTTAGTACCCTTCTTCTTCCCCTGTCTAAGTTGTCTGCCTTCTTGCTCTGCCTTCTAAGTTTAGTAGCCGCTTCTTTCTTCCTTCTAAGGTTGTGGCTGCCTCTTTGGCTTCCTTCTAAGTTTGAGGTGAGCCTTCTTTCTTCCTTCTATAGTTGTCTGCGCTTCTTGCTTCCTTCTAATTTTAGTACCTTCTTCTTCCTTCAAGCTGCCTGCCTCATTTTGCGCTTCCTTCTAAGTTTAGTACGCGTTTTTTTTCCCCCCTGTAAATGCGGATAAATGTTCGAAGATCGCTGGCGCGGGGTCAGCTTGCGGCAAGCCTCGTGCTCTGCGGGCGTGCCGGCTACGCGTGAGGCGCGTAGAACTCTGTGAGTGCGACGGCAGCAGATGTCTCGGCCGGTGCCGTCGTCGTCGCCGCTCGGGCAGAAGTGCGAAGACGTGGCCCGACAGACAATTGCCGATCGCCAATCGACGCGCGGCGGGCGCGACGCGTCACTGCGTGTCTCCGTTGCGTCTGCTGACGACGAACGAGAAGACGACAAACGACGACGACTAACCGAGCTGGATGTACGACGACGACGACGACGGACTACGACTGTACTGTATCGGACTGTATCTGAAAAAGATGACAGGCCTTCCTAATATTGCGCCTGCCTCTTTGCTCCTTCTAGTTAGTAACATTCTTTCTTTCCTTCTAAGTTGTCTGGTCCTTCTTGCTTTCCTTCTAAGTTAGTACCCCTTTCTTCTTCCTTCTAAGTTGTCTGAGCCTTCTTGCTTCCTTCTAAGTTTTAGTACGCGCTTCTTTCTTCCTTCTACGTTTAGTAACCACCACCTTCTTCTTATCCTTCTAAGTTGCCTGCCTTATTTTTCCTTCTATGTTAGTACCTCTTTCTTTTTCCTTCTAAGTTTAGTACCTTCTTTCTATCCTTCTAAGTTGCCTGTCTCTTTGCTTCCTTCTAATGTACCTTTCTCTTCCCTTCTAAGTTGTCTGCCTTCCCTTCTTCCTTTCTAAGTTGTCTGCCTTCTTGCTTCCTTCTAAGTTTAGTAGCTTCTTTTCTTTCCCTTCTAAGAGTTTTAAGTTTAGAAAGTGACTATATACCTTCCACGTGTGTCGGCGATGTGGGTATAGCTTGTGTGTCCGTGGCCTGACTAGCAACAACGTCGCTTTTAAGGTGGAATGGCGCAATGTCTTTCGATGACGAGCCTGGCCAACATGGGCGGCCAGCATCCGCCGCGTCCATTGACGATGCCCCGGCCCATGGGGGCGCCAGCTGTCAGCGTTTCCCGGCGCACGGTTTCGGGGGAGGTTTTGGCCGGCGG